CTTCTATCTCCCTTGCTGGACAACTCTGTGCTCCATATGCATTGGGCCGGGCTGCTGGATTGCGCGGCAGCAGTGTGGTCCCCGTGGAGTTCCCGCCTCCCCTGCCGGATGTCTCCCCACTCCAAGCGCACTAGACCAGGCTGGGAATGGAGCCAGGTGCCTGCAGTGAAGCCTACCTGCTGGATCACACAGTGGCGGCGCCACAGGGTGTGTGGTTTCTGCAGAGCCTCCGCCTCCCCTGCCGGACGTCTCCCCACTCTGTGTGCACTGGGCTGGGCTGGGAATGGATCCGGGTGGCGGCGGTGAAGCCTACCTGCTGGATCACGCAGTGGCGACCCCACAGGGTGTGTATAGATCACATGCATACAGTACAGAAACACTCTCTCTCTCTCTCACACACACACACACACACACACACACACACACACACACACACACACACACACACACACACACACACACCACATGCACACACATAGAAAGATCCCAGGGCTACAGGTAGAAGTGCAGGACATTATTTGGGATTGTCTCAACCAAATTCAATTCACTAGGAAAGAATGATAACCCCCACCATCCCACATCAGTACTTCTCTTCACACTTACCTTGCCTCGCTGGCTGACCACATTAGTGTCCACCTGTTCATGCCACACCTGTTGAAGATCTGAAACCAGCAAGGCATAGCCCTGCTCGGTGATATAAGCCTTGGCCAACAGGGAGCTCTCAGCAAGCTGTAGCCATGCCCACGGCTGCATCAACAGGCCTTGCTCCAGTTCCTCCATCTGCAGGAAAGTCCTAATTTAGCAAAGTGGGCTGGCCAGTTAGAAATAAGTGTTGATACCATCAAGGTGAAGGGTTAGGTCCCAGTACCTAATATAATTTAGCGAAATACCTCCAGGGTAATGTAGGCCTAGAGAGGGCATTACTCAGACAGCTCTATATCAACTAAAATTTTGTGAAAATCCTTCCTAATAAAACAGAAGGCATGGATTTGCAGTCTCCTCCTCTATATAACCAGCTGAGCACCACCCTTACTACCTCTTGGCCACTAAAGATCTATTTAGAATTAAGTTTCTAGAGGGTAGAAAATATACCTTTCTTCTATAGTGTTTAAGCCTCAGCATATTGGTGTCAGTATTCCTACTTTCTAATAATATAACTTAATGTGGAAACCTAAACCATTCTTGTGCATCTTTATCACATTCATAATAATATCAACAAAGATCAACTGGCCTACTATGCTATCCTTTCCCAGAACTTTTAGAAAAGAAGGAATAGTGCTGCCTTATAAAACATCATAAGTCATAAGTGTCAGGGGCAGGAAATTCAAATTCTTTGATCACTATCTAAAAACAAAGCTCTGGAAGCTCTCAGGATTAAAAAAAAAAAGAAAGAAAAGAAACCACCCTAAAACAGAGATTCTTAATCTAGAGCCTATTCACATGAATCCTCTGGGATTATATGAAAATTCTGTACATACATGCAGATATGCATGGGGGGAGGAAGGAAGAAGTCCATATCTATGTCAAATTCTCAAAGGGATCAGTGACACAAAGAGCTAATAAGCTCTGTGTCAAGGAGGAACAGAAAAGACCAAAATCCCATTTCAACAAGAAACTGAATGACTAGGAAGTCATAAATACAAGGCACAGCACAGCACAGAGGTAGAGCCGACTTCCACTTAACTCATCCCCCATCTTCCCACCCTGAGGCACTGCCACCATTGATATCATGCCCTGCTGCACAGCCTGGAACTCCTGGAAACCAACTTTTTTACCTCAACAGCTAAAGCAGTAGCCTTAACCTAGCAGATATTTAGTAATACTGGCTGCTTGACAGAGAGTTTGATTATTTTTTCCAGGGGGTGGTGGGGAAGTGATATGATCTCCTTCATTCTTCCAGTCTATAAATGCAAAATGGAAGAGAAGTGATGGGGGGAGGGGGAACTTAGAATATAAAGAAATAACAAGGGCCGAACCCGTGGCTCACTCGGGAGAGCGCAGCGCGCTGGGAGCTCCAAGGCCCCAGGTTCGGATACTATATAGGGATGGCTGGTGCGCTCACTGGCTGAGCGCTGTGTGGGCGACACCAAGCCAAGGGTTCCGTTCCCCTTACTGGTCACACACACACAAAAAAAACAAAAAACAAAAAACAAAAAAAACAAGAAATAACAAAATTCCTTAAGTCTAATTAACACAGTCATTTCCATCTTAGTCTAAGCCATCATTATTCCAACCATAACCTAGTTTTTGAAGCGTGGCCTTGTGACATACTTAATGTAGACAGTAACCAGACAGGTGAAATATACATATATACGGTGATTTTACTTACAGCAGCCTCAAAACCTTGTGTTTGGAGGATGGCATTTCTGTCACATTCCCCATGTGCTGTTCCTACTAGGCAGCAGAGGTCTTGGAATGATTAAGCTAGTCCTCACTGGACAAGAGTTCCACATTGCTTTCCGAAAGCCACAAATGCAAATAAAGTCGCCAAAATTGGGTATATTATCCTAGCCCGTCCCTTCGGAAAGCCCAAAAGCTCAAAACCCTCAAGTTGTTTAAGTTGGTTGTTTTTGTTTGTTTGGGATAGGGAGTAGATTAAAAAGTGGCTGGGTCAACTGGCCCCATGAGGTCTGGCACATCCAGCACCAAAGGGACGCTGCCATGCGCGTCCGTTTCTGAGTCTGAAGCCTCTATACTTCTCCCTTTTCTTTTTTCCTTCAACACCGCCTTGGCATTCACATCAACCAGATTCATTCCTTTTTTTTGGCGGCTGGCCAGCGCGGGGATCCGAAACTTCAACCTTGGTATTACCAAGCGCGCTTTTTTTTTTTGTCCTTTCTTGAGACCGGCCGCACCGCACTCAGCCAGTGAGCGCTGTGAGCGCACCGGTCATCCCTATATAGGATCCGAACCCGCGGCGGGAGCGACGATGCGCTCCCAGCGCCGCACTCTCCCGAGTGCGCTACGGGCTCGGCCCCCAAGCGCGCTTTAACTGAGTATCCGACCAGCCCGGGTTTACTGCTCTTGAGTGAGGAAGGGGAGGTGCCGATCAGCCGAGGTGCGGGCGGCTGAGAGCCGGTAGCTGCATCAAGTACCGCCCCTTGGCCGTGATCCCCTCTGGGCAGTTCCTCCGACACCCTGCAGAGGGCAGCAACACCCCAGAGACCATCCGGGCTGGGCCGCGCCCTGTCCCCCGGGAGAGGGCGGACCTCTGTCCCTTTACCACAGTCCCACCCCAGGAGCCCCGTCTGGCATCCAGTTTCCATTCGCCCTTGCTAGGAGAGGCTGCGCTGTCCGCCTTCCATTTCTACAGCACCGGCTGCACTGAGACGCGGCTCGGGACCCTTCAATGTGTAACAAGGCCGACCACCAGGAGCCTTGTCGAACCAAACAGCCCGTCAAAGAGGAGCCCACTCAAGCCCCACAAAGCCCGCCATGCCGCCGGAGGCGGACTGCGCACGCGCGGCACGCGCGGCCCCGCCTCCTCCCGGAGGCCTGCCTGGAACCCCGGCTGCGCGCGGTCCCTCCTGGGAGAAACGCCAGTGCCAAGCCCAACCCGCAGGATCTGAGCAGCCCCTCGCCTCCCGGCTCTGGCCCAGACCCGGGCACCGACTCGAACCCGACCCTACATACCGTCAGCGGCCGTGAGAGCGTCCACCCTCCTCGCGGTAGGCCTGCACGGCCGCCCGCGCAAACCGAAAGGCCTAGAGTAGAGGCAGATTTCTCCCCCAACGGAGAGGCGGGGGCCTGGGACAGGGGCGGAGCCCAGGCCTGCGTGGGCGGGGCTTCTGGGCCCGGTGAGCTCATTAAAGAGGCTCCCAGAGCTGGAGGGTCACCGTCGCCAGGAAAATTAGAAGAGAGTGGGCGGCCCGGTAGTGGAGATGTTGAGGGCTAGTGGCGCTTCTTGAAGTAACGCTGGCGGAGTAGAAAGAATACCGGAGGGGATGCTGGAAAGGGGGCGCCCAGGATTGGATTCGTCAAACTCAAGTTAAGTCTCTTCCCTCCCTGACCTGTTCAGCCTCTTTTTTTTAATAAAATGAGGGATTGAACTTCACTAGATAATCTCTCGGGTCCTCACCAGCACTAGAGTTGTTTGAGAAGTCTCCCTGGCCTAAATCCCCATCCATTACCTCTCCTGCCTCATTTCTCCCTCCTACCACCCTATACTTAACGCTCCATCACCGCTGAGAAACTTGAAACCCCTGAACTCATCTTGCACTCTATACATATCATGGTTTGCTCAAGTTGGATCCCTGAGCCTGAAAAATTCCCCCCATCTGTTTTCCGAAACCAAAAACCCTCTTCACTTGACAAGGCCACCTTCTGAATGTTGAATCTTTTTTTTTTTTTGTCTTTTTGTCTTTTTTCATGACCGGCAACGGATCGCAACCCTCAGTGTCGCGCCTGCACCGGACCGGGACCGGCAGTGGGATCGCAACCCTCGGCGTTGCCCCTGCTCCTCGCTCAGCCAGTGAGCGGCCGGTCTGTATGTGGGATCCGAACCCTAGGCAGGAGCACCACCGTGCTTCCCAAGCGGCACACTGTAGCAGTGCACCACCGGGCCGGCCCCGACAAGGCCACCTTCTGCTTCTGCTTTCATAAAGCCTTTCCCATTACTCTCAGTCAAAATTGTTCCTTCCTCTTTGCTCCCACAGCATTATTTTAATCTTTATTACACACTGCCTTCTTCTCTGCACTTTAGTTAGTAATTACATAGGCTTTTTAAAACTGTAAAAGCCTTGAGAGGTCAGGAACCCTGTATTATCCATATCTGTTGTTCTAGGACCTTGCACATGGGAGGCACTCAAATATTTAAGTGAATGCTGGGGTTCAAGTGATATTGATAGTACACATTCATTTATTCATGGGCTCACTAAACCATGGACCCTGCTGTGGAACAGTTAGGCCTAATTAAGAGAAAGAAAGGCAACCCACCCTATTAGGAAATGGGACCTCTAGGTGGGCCCATGGATTCACACACACACACACACACACTCTCTCTCTCCCCCCACACACACACACCCCAGGAGAAAGTAGAACCTGGGAATTGATTCACCAGCAAGCTAGAAGTTACAGTTAAACTAACCAGGGAAGAACTAAGACTCCTGGTAATTACTGGGATCTAAACCCTCCTCTGCTAGATGCAGTGCATGGCTCTCCAGAGCCAGGCAGCAGGTCTGCCATCTCTCCTAGCTCAAAGGGTCCTTCTTCCTCATCCCCAGGGTCTTCAGGCAGTGGGCAGAGGCAACGGAGGGGTTGGGGGATGCAGGGACAAAGGTTTTGGATGGGGAAAGGAAGCCCATACTCTTGAGCAGCCTTGTGTCTGGATATCTGAGGCATTTGAGCCTTTGGGGCAGCAAAAGAGGATGGCAGCTCTTGACCTAGGCCTCGCTCAAGCCGTGTGCCTACAAAAGAGAGATTGGTCAGGCCATTGCCCAACCCAGGGAGTGTTGACTCCCTGACCACTTCCCAGGCTGCTAGGGCCTGGCCTCAACTTACCAGGAATAGTATTCTCTAGGAGGAAGCTCAAGAGTCCAGCCAAGAAGATGGGCTCTCTCAGCAGCAAGTGCAATAACACATCCAAGGGGCTCCAGCCTGCAAGGGTTTGGGGCCAGGCAGGAATGGAATTCTGATTTTATCCAAGACCAGGGAGTCTTATCCTTCTAAACCTAATACTAAGTCTGGGATTAAGATCTTTCTGAATTGTCATTCCATCTCCTTTGTCCTTTTATTCTCCATTTCCCATCCGGGCCCTTCCCACAGGATTGCTGCTCAACACCTATCTTCTGAGCATCCACACACCCTCCAGATAGACTTTGACTGTTCCAGGCTCCCTTTCTCTGGAAAGTTGAGTAATAAAAGCCCCAACCCTATCTCCACTTCGTACCTTCTATGCTCTACCCTTGGTGTTCTCAATCTTAGTACTACTGACATTTTAGACCCGATAATTCTTTGTTGTGGGGGGCTGTCCTGTGCATCGTAGGATGTTTGGCAGCATCTCCCTATGCACTAAATGCCGATAACAGTCCCCCCTTCCCCCATTTCTAACAGCCAAAAATACTTTCAGACATTACCAAATGTCCCCTGTAGGGCAAAATCACCCCTAGTTGAGAACCATTGCTCAAGACAAACTAAGCTGTTTGCTGCTCTCAGGACACATCATATGACTTGCTTTCTTTTTTTCTTGGCAGCTGGCTGGTACTGGGATCCAAACCTGTGACCTTGGCATTATAAGGCTGCACTCTAACCAATTAAGCTAACCGGCCAGCCTGACTTCCTACTTCTATGTCTTTTTTTATGATGGTTCCTCCATCAGGAATGACCTTCTCACCAAATATGTTTAAATCTTACCATCCTTCCAGATCAGCTCAGTGTTACTAGAACACCTCCAATAGAAGCCATCTCTCTTGTTATTGAGCACCACAGCTCTTTTTCTGAACCTTTCTCATTATTTTCCTACACATCTCATCTCTTTTACTAGACTATAACACCTGGAGGCACCTTTATATCCCAAGTGGCTAGCAGGGTGTTCCATAAATGTTTGTTAATGGTGTAAATGATAAACTATTTACACCAAAACCCAGAAGTCCAGAGATCCTGAAAGCTTAACCCCTTGCTTTCCCCACTAGTGAGCAACTCCTCTTCCTCTCCCCACTCCACCCACCTGTGCTGAGTAAAACCGGGGCTTCCCGAACCCATTCTGGCAGCAGCAGGGCCATGAAGATGGAGAAACCCACAATGAAGACATTCCACCCAGAGTCAATGTCAGCCAGGTGGAAGCTAGAGAATCCAGCAGACAGGACCACAGCCTGGGTCACCCCCAGCACCCCACCTGTCTCATACAGAAGAAATCAAGGGGGTTGGGAGACAGCTGGCACAGCACAGGGTATTGCAGGGCAGACGGGTTGTGAGGGGGAGAGATAACCAAAAGGCTTGTTTCTGATTCTGCAAGAGCTCAGAAACCCAGTCAAGAGGCCAAGATGTTGGACTGAGAAAATGAGGGCAGCTGACACATGCTCACATACATCCATCCAGGAGGGCTATTTAGAAAGAATGAGTGCCAGCCTAAACAACTGGTCGGGCCACACTTGGGAGTACTGGTTCAATACTACTCCTGTTGACACATCCAGTCACCAAGTACAGGTAGCAGGATAGTGGTAAAGAGCTGAGTAGGCCTGGGGGAGAGCCCAAGCCCCATGCAGAGCAGCCCCATGAAGTGGGCCACTTGCCGAGATCCAGTCTACGTAAAGAAGAGACACTAGAAATCACAGCCACCTCCTTGGACTGTTCCAGGTCTTTGCCTGGCAGGCTCCTTCTAATCATTTGAATCCCAACCCAAATGCAATCCTTCCAAGAAACATCCCTGACCGTTCTATCTAAACCTGCCACCTTTACTCAGCCACTACACTGCTACCTGCTTTGTTTTCTTAATAGCACCTATCACTTTCTGAAATTACTGTATTTACCCTTTTTCTTCACTTGTCAGCCTCTGCCAGTATGAAGTCCCCAGTATGAGGACTTTTTCTCACTTGTTCTTCACTGGAACCCCAGCCTTGGTACAGCACCTGATGCACAGAAGGAGTTCAGTGGTGATTTGTTGTCTTCACACTCCCAGCTCCTTGCCTTATCTAGGCACCTCGCTAGGTGAGATCACTGATGTGAAGTGCTTGAGTGCTGGGCACAGCTAGCAATCAACCAGTGTGAATTCTCTTCTCTCTCCTGTACCTCCAGCTTTCTCCCCCACCCCTGTCCTTATCCCTGTCTCAGGTCCACATACCTGGGTAAGATTCACTGTGCCCACATTGGAGAAGTTGGATGCAGTGCCCATGGTGCTTCCCAGCAGCCCAGCCAGCACACTGCTCAGCCCCTCAAGGCCCAGCCCTCTACTGCAGGCATGCGGAGGTGGAGGAGGCAAATGCAGCAATCTGCCACATAGGGTGTAGCAGTCCAGGGAGCTGGTGGAAGCTGCCAAGGCCATGGGGATGCCTGCCACCAGAGCCCTAGGTGTCAGCAAGGACCAGTCCCACTCACCTGGGGAAGGAGAAGGAGCAGCCTTAGAATCAGACTCAAGTCTAGAGCATCCCCCTATCTCCAACAGCCTGTGCTACAAGAATCCTAGATGTTCCAATGGCTTCAAAGATAATGTCTTGGGGGCAGAACCACTGAACTCTAAGGAGAAAGACCAATCCCTTTACCATGGTCTACAAGTTTGCTTTGACCTGACCCTATCCTCTCTCTCCAGCCTCCTCTTCCACCATACTCCACCTCACTTACTTCATTCAGACATACTGGCCTTGTACTTAGGCCCTGTACTTGCTGTGCTCCCAGCCACCATAGGGCCTTTGCATATGCTGTCTTCTTCACCTAGAATGCTCTTCTCTTCTGCCTTTGTCCAGTTAGCTCCTACTCACCTCTCACTCCAGCCTCCTCTTCCACCATACTCCACCTCACTTACTTCATTCAGACATACTGGCCTTGTCTTAGGCCCTGTACTTGCTGTGCTCCCAGCCACCATAGGACCTTTGCATATGCTGTCTTCTTCACCTAGAATGCTCTTCTCTTCTGCCTTTGTCCAGTTAGCTCCTACTCACCTCTCACATCTCAGCTCAACAATCACATACTCAAGAAAACCTTTCATGATCTCCCTGATAGAGTCAAATTCCCCATTATGAGCTCTCATCACACAATGTATCTCCCCTTGGTTACACTTACCACAATGGTAATTTTATATTTACTTGAGTGACTATTTAGCATCTGCATTCTCCAGTGGACTGTAAGCTCCGTGAAAGCAGGTACTATGTCTCTATGTTCATCACTCTGTCCCCTACCACATGCCTAGCACATAATCAGCACTCAACAGACCCTTGTTAAATTGGTCAATGAGCAAATCTCACATACAATGCCTCAAAAACAATCTTTCTACATGGGTCACCAATTCAAATGTCTATAGGAGTTGGTAACAAAAATGTGTAAATTGGGTAAGGAGTATGAGTAGTGAGAGGTGGGGCTTGCAGAAACTGTATGTGTCTGTCTCATCACTGACCCAAATAAAACACCAGTGGTGAAGAGCTGGAGTTTCCCCTCAGATTGGCAATTTCTCTCTCCTGTGTGTTTTGAGAAAACAGGATTTAACTCAGAAATGAAATTCATTAAATCTTGAGTTCAGAGAAACAGATACCTTTATTTCAGCAAGAGGATAGAGGACTAGGAGAAAACCTACCTGAGACCACGGTGCCTTGGTGGGGCAGATAGGTCCAGGGGGATAATGCTGAAACCCAGAAGGGCAGAGATGATCCACACACAGGCCACAGGGATCAGCACCTGAGTGTTAAGACTGAGACAGAAAAGAACCCCTCCCCCAGAACCTTCTGAGCCAGACTTGAAGGGCTGGGCAGAAGCCAAAGGTAGGGGCCAAGTGAGCATTCTATGCCAGCCCTTCTAACATCGACCGCCCCTGCCCAGACCCCATGTACCAAGAGGAGCCAGAAGGCAGGGAAGTGAGTGTGAGATGGAGATGCTGCAGCTGGCCTCCAGGGGTATGGGGGCACCTAGCAGGAGCCTAGGTGCTGAGAATAGACCATCACGAGCAGGATAAGCCTAGGAGAGAAAAGGGGCTTAAGGAGCAAGAGGCAGCAGACATCCTGAGGGGTGGTAATGGTGGTGGGAGTGGGCAGAATACCATAAAAGGGTAGAAGAAGAAAAGAGAAGAAACCCCCATGGAAGAGTAGGAAGGCACCTTGGGGAACAGCAGAAGACAGAGTGAAAGCCAGGGAGACTAAATGAATCCAGGAAAAGTCTTGGATTCCACATCTAAAAAGTGCGCCCCTGCTCAGGTGGCTGCTGAATCTGACAGGGCCAGCAGCTGTGCCCTCCCCTGGTCCCACACACTCCACCGGGCACCCTCCCACACCTCTCATGACTCAAGTATAGCAAAGGTAAGCCCCAGTGAGAGGAGCAGAACTGGGCCACCTCGCTGTGCACAGAGAGCCCTGCCACAACCAGGCTGGGAGCCAGCACCAGGGGCCCACAGTGGGGAAACACATAGCTAGGACCCCCTGAAAGCCCATGTCCCCTGCAGCAGCCCGGACACCATCACTGCCCCAGACACCTGGTGGAAAGGAGAAGAGGATGGAGAGAAAACATTCTGCTCAGTCAAACTGACCTCAGCCTGGACTTCCTAACTAATTCTGGGGACGGGTTCCCCCCAAACTCCTTCCCCCAGAGCACCTCAGTCCCTGCATAATGGAAACAAAAGCCTCTCCAAGCCCAGAACCACCCTTAGACCTTCTGCTTCACATACCCAAGTACTCACCTCTCAGAGAGAAGTGTTCCAGAGCTCCAGGCCATGACATCCAGGCTCCCTACACAGGTGCAGTACAAGGGATGCTGGGAGAAGTTTGAGGCACAGAGAGGAGAACGGTAAATGGGATGGAGACCCAATGTTGTACTGTCCTAGCTGGTACCTAGCACAGCTCCAGGACCCCTACAGTGCCCAGCAGTCCTACCACTACCCAATCTCAATCCTGCACCCACTTACACCTATATGCTCAAATGAGCACCCAACCCCACCCTTGCCCCTTCCCCTTGCTCTATTCTCACAGTTTCCAGGTGTCTGGATGGCAAGGGGTAGCTTCTGGCTGGTCAGCACCAGAGCAGGGATAAGGAACTCTAAGGATGGAGACTAGACAAGAGGTAGCCTGTAGGAACAGCAGCCCCAGCAAGTCTGGAAACATGTGGCCCCCAACAGGATACCCCAAGCCTCTTCTACACCCCAGGATCCTACCCCTCTCTCCAAGGGGTTTTCCTCACCTGCTGCCTATCCAAGTTTGCAGGATGGTAGACACCACATGAAAAGAAGCTGGAGGCTAGGAGCTGAGAAGGGGAGTACGAGAGTCCTCCTGGAGGGAGACTGCAAAGAAGGAACAAGTGGGAAGCACAAAGCAGAGAAGCCAGGACCAAGATATGCTGCAGGTAGAGGAATGGGGAGGGGCAGTCTTCAGAAATAGACAAAAATATCTATTTCCAGAGGGTTTCTCAGGCCACGCCTACTCCCCCCAAACTCCTCTTTGAGTCAGCATCAACTCCTGCACCTCTGCCTCCTACCTGCAGAGCCAGAAGACAGCTGAAGCCCCAGGAGGGAGGCCCACACAGAGAGGCCCAAGAGTGAGAGGAAGGATTCTGGAGAGCAGGCTGCACCTGGGCATCCTGGGAGCCCACAGGTTGGAGTTGGATGGGATAGGGGAGTGATCGGCTCATGCCGCTCTTATGTCTTGTCTTGGTTGCCCTGGGCCAGAGTTAAGTGGAGAGAGTAATAGGTCAAAGTTTGGGTGAAGTTAGCTGCCTGGGGTGGAGAGGGGTGGGAGTGTCAACGAAGTGGAGCAAAGGGATGAGAAATTTCGGGCAGGACATACCCTTTTTCCTTTGCCCAGCCCTTGTGCAAATTCCATCAGACATTAACTGGGGAGCTGAGTTTTGGACCCCTACCCCAAGAATCTTCATCCAAACCCCCAGCTCCTAGATCAGTCTCTGGAAAGTAGGATAGGAAGGGTGGGGAGACGACCTATCAAAATAACCTGGGGAGGTTTTGCACATTGTATTCCCTCTCATCACCACCACCACCACCATTTGGGACCATCACTATTAGACCCACAATTATCAACCCTTTCAGGACCAAGCCCCCGGGACTATACCTCAAAATGAAACTTATGTATAATATATCCTACATTACACATAATGACCACAACTCCATATGATGTCCTCACTGCAAAGGAGAAATAAAGTAGTTTATAACACATATTTCACTACGTGAACTGGAAGACTATATGATAGTCCAGACCCCACCATATGTAGAATTGCTGTGAACCTTGCTACTGGGGCTCTGGTGGCAACTCAGATATGACAAGCAGTGTTCATATTGGTGACATGGTTTTTCAAAATGGTGAACAAACTCTTGGTAAAGTGCTGAACAAATTCGTTTATCATAGGTGAATTCCTAGCAAACTGAGCCTTTTTCAAAATACGCAAAAGCTATAAAATGACCCATTAGTTTCCAAAATGCCCCCTAGGGGGCATTACCATCCCTACTATCGACGATCTTCAGCAGTACCAAATGCCCTCAGTCCAGCTGCCCAAACTGTTTTCCTTCTTCCAGTGATGACCCAGCCTTGGAGTGACTATGTGTCAGACCAACTATGTGTCACCATGTGTCAAACCAGTGAGGTCAGGACAGAGAGAAGCATCCTCGGGGCCTTGACCTCAAGGAGTTCATTTGCTGAATACACAGCTGGCCCCTCTCCAGGAGATGTGCTTCAGGATACACAAGGGTGGTGCTCACCCAGAACATGCAACAGACAGGCATGGGACAGTCACCATTTGTGTCCCATGACACTCCAAGTCAAGCAGCACTAGGGCCCCATGGTGCTGGGAGCAGGGACAAGGGGAAGTTTGAAAAGGGAGCCTATGACTACCATCAAATAATAGGGAAGTTTTGAAATGGGGCTCAGAGAAAATGGTTTGCAAGATGACAGAATCAGGAAGTAGGGAGGCTTGAAAGGCAAACATGGGGAGGAAAAATCTTCAAGGGCTGCCGTAGAAGGAAAAGTCCAGGCCATGCAACTGAAAATGTTTATTGAAACCTCAGTTCTACAAAAGCATGAAAAACCCAGATACAAAGTGGTGGCCAGAGAGGCCTGAAAAGAGAACACCGGGAGAGGAACCAGAAGAGAGGAAAGCCTAGGAGCAGGGCACTAAGAGAAGGGTGGAAGACAATAGGTCAAGGTTTGAAGGTCCCAGCAGTCCTTGGATCCATTAGTCTACATCCAAGGAATGGGTGTGGAGAAGGTTTCCCCTAACCCAGTCTTCTCTCAGTAGCTCTCACCTTAGCCCCATCAGTCCTGGGCTCTCCTGCCTCAAGGACATCACACAGGCCCATGTCAACATCTCCTTCCTCCATCTTCTACCTTTACCCTTCCATCCCAGGAACTCAAAATCAAAAGTCTAGAAAAGTCCAGGGGAGGCAGAGAGATGGAGGCTTCTCTGTCCATCTGATGTGCCCCTGGTAACTGAGCTGAAGCTTTCCTTGGCACCACCAGCGCCCTGGGCAAGCAGTCAGGCACTGAGGTCTAGGAGAGTGAATGACCTTCAGTCCTTCTGCCCTACAACCCCTTAAAATCTTACCCAGGAGGACGGGGGACCAGCCAAGGACCCAGAGAGGTAGAGAGGATCTAAATCAAGCATTGCTCCTTTGGGTTCTCAGGGATTCCCCAATCCTCTTAATGTACTCCTCAGAGCCCTCCCTAGCCTGGAAAAATGAAAGACTTGAGGCGGGCCAGCTCCATGACACTGAAAAGGGAACACTGCTGGGGCTGGGGGAGTGGAGGGAGCACAGGGCTCCAGGGCCAGGGTGGAGCCAGGCCATGGGTATGGTACCAGGGACTGGGAGGCCCAGTGGAGACTGTATGGTTGGGGTGGTGGCAGGCATGGCAGGTTGGGGAGTCTCTCCGGAACCTCTGGCAAAGGGGGCAGTTATGGAGATGAGTGGGAGGAGCAAGGGGATCTGGTGGAGGTAACGGTGGGGGAGTCAGTGAGGCCAGAAGACTGCCCCAGAGCAGACGCAGCCCTACGTCTCGTTCTGGGCAGCTGGAGACATTAGCAGGAGATGGCAGGCATGGTAAGACGGGAGAAGGTATGCAGGGCTCCAAGAGGCACCTGGAGGCCAATCCAAGGTCAGGAGGGCCAGGTGGGGGGCTGCAGGACAGCCCCAAGGACTGGTGTATTACAGCCGCCGATGCCACAGCCAAGGCCATGCTGCTCACGTATGCCATAGCTAACAGGCAGGACAGCTGCAGGAAAGAAGGTAAGAAAGAAGACTGCTGACTATCTTTAACACATTCATCCCCTTTGTCTATTGAAACTTGTATTCAAATTGGAGCTCTCTATAGCCATTTGCGCCCCACCCTACCCAACTACTCTGAAACCCTATCTCCTGAGCCTTTGGCCTTTCGACATTAGCTTAACATCCCACCTTACACACCAACCTGCTCAAGCTCCCATCCTTCCTAACCCTTCCTCACCTTTACCAGTTGCTGGCACAGAGAGCCCAGGGCCACCTGCCAGGTTGGCTGCTCTAGCAGCACACACAAGTCTGTGTAGGTGTACCAGCCCCGCCGCTGTCCCTGCTGCTCAGCCACGCTAGTGGAAGGAAAGAAAAGACAGAGTCTGCAACTCCTGCAGCAAGCCCAGTAGCCCCCTCATACCCTGCAGGACTCACCAGAAAACACCAGAGAGCTTGTTAAATGTACAGATTCGGGGCCGGCCTGTGGCTCACTCAGGAGAGTGCGGTGCTGATAACACCAAGGCCACGGGTTCGGATCCCATATAGGGATGGCCGGTTGCTCACTGGGTGAGCGTGGTGCTGACAACACCAAGTCAAGGGTTAAGATCCCCTTACCGGTCATCTTTTTAAAAAAAATAAAAATAAAATAAAATAAATGTACAGATTCGGGGCCGGCCTGTGGCTCACTCGGGAGAGTGCGGTGCTGATAACACCAAGGCCCCGGGTTCGGATCCCATATAGGGATGGCCGGTTGCTCACTGGGTGAGCGTGGTGCTGACAACACCAAGTCAAGGGTTAAGATCCCCTTACTGGTCATCTTTTTTAAAAAAATAAAAAAATAAAAAAATAAATGTACAGATTCCTAGGCTACCTGCTGATCTAGAAACTGAAGGGGAAACCAAGAGTGTATTTTATTTATTTATTTTTCTGTAGCTGGCTGATAGGAGGATCTACAGCCTTGACCTTGGTGTTATCAACACCACGCTCTAACCAGCTGAGCTAACTGGCCAGCCCAAGACCTGTATTTTTTTTTTTTTAAAGATGACCGGTAAGGGGATCTTAACCCTTGACTTGGTGTTGTCAGCACCACGCTCACCCAGTGAGCAACCGGCCATCCCTATATGGGATCCGAACCCGGGGCCTTGGTGTTATCAGCACCGCACTCTACCGAGTGAGCCATGGGCCGGCCCAAGACCTGTATTTTTTTTTTTTT